GGGCGTCAAGATGATGCTCTCTTTTGACCAAGTAAAAATCAAGGAACTCTCGAAAAATCAGACAGGAACAACGTGCATGCCACGTTTCGTTCCCCCAGACGGGGCCCAGGGGCGGCTCGAACTCTGGAGGCGGAGCGCCCGAAGCTGGAGAGAGCGCGCGGCCCGCCCTGCGAGGCAGCTGGGGGGGGGGGGAGGCCCGCCACGGGAGGAGCGGGAGGCTCCGAAGCCGGAGAGAGAGAGGCGGGAGCCGCGGGGGCGACTCCACGGCAGGGGAGCGAGCACGGCCTCCACGGGTGCCAGCGGCCAGAGGGAGCGACTGCGCCAGCAGGGAGGGAGGCCAGGGACAGGCGGGCGGGGGCGACGCACCAGGAGAGCAGGGGAGACGCAGTGCGAGACGACGAAGCTGAACAACAATGCTGGGAGCCTGAAACAGGTTAGCGTGTCACTGCAAGTGGGTGCGGACGTCGAACACAACCTCGGCGCCCTCGACACGCACGTCGGACCCACATGTCAACGACATCAGCTTGTTGCCAGCGAATGCCCGCCCTCGACCACCTCGGCAGCTCCTGAGCCGATCAATTAATGGGCTCCAGCTCCGCTGAGTAATAACGTGTTCGCGCAGCCCTGGGCGCAATACTGGGCATGGCCCACCACTGCACGGCGAAAGAGAACAACAAATCCAGTATCGCCTGTGGGGGAAGCACCTTCGGAAGGACACAACGCGAAGGCGATTTACCCACTTCCACTTGTCCTCGGGAAGTCCCCGCAAGGGAGTCGCTGGGCCTCCTTGGAAGAAGAAGAAACGGCACAAACATAAACTGTTGGCGCTCCGCGCGGATTTCTTGGATCCGCGCCAGGGGCGGCGCCGGAGGCGCCGCCGGGGGGGCCCCAGCGCGGATCCAAGAAGTCCGCGCGGAGCGCCCAAAGTTTGTGTGTATGCTGCTTTTTGTTCTCCGACTCCTTCCACCCGGCTCGCAGGCGGGCCTCTCAGGCTGTGGCAGGCTGGCAGCACCGAGGGCAGAGGCGCGGGCCGGCCCGGGCGCGCGCCAGCAGGGCCCTCCCACCGGGGGGGGGGGCTGTCGGCGGCGAGGGCGGCCCGGGCGCGGCTGCGGCCGACAGCAGCCTGCGGAAGGGGGGCTGCCGGCAACGCGGGCCCCAGTCCAGAGGTGGTCCTCGGCGTCCGCCACCTGCACCCCTCCCGCAGCTCCAGGAGCAGCGGGAGGCGCCCCAGGGGCTCCAGGGAGGAGCGGCACCCAGGGCGCCAGAAGCACCCGAAGCGTCATGGCTCGGCGGCTGAGGCATCGCACGAACTTGCACTGGAGGAGGCGCGCAGTCCGACGACGGCCCGCGAAGCTGCACGTCACGCCGTCCAACAGGAGCAGAAACGGCAGCAGGCGCTGGCACCACAAAGCCTGGGCGAGCGACGGGAAGATCCCGAGGCAACGCACGACGAGGAGGAACAAGCAGAACAACCCGTGGCTGCTGCACGGGAGCTCCCGCGGCCCAGAGCGCCGAGAACCAGGCCCAGTGCGACAGAGGCCACGTGCCTGAGCAAGGGCGGCCACGCCAGCCATCCTCGCACAGCAGCCGACTCGGGCTGCGTACACGTCGTTCATTTCTAATCGTGCTCATTTCGAATTGCGCTCGCTTCCAATTGTTCCTGGCCCCCTAGTGGCCAGGAAGAGGCCCAGGATGGAACAATCAGAAATGAAAGGACCGTGGCCCCCGAAAAAATCAAGGAATCTCCCAAGAATCAGACGTGAACCGTGCGCAGCCCAAACGCGCACCCTGCGGCGCGGTCGGGCCTCTCCAGGCGGGGGCAGCGAACACCGTGCCGAGCGGGAGCAGCTCGCGAGGCGCGGTCGGGCCAGGGCACGACGGCAGGGCCGCGGCGCGCACGAGGCCCGGGCCGCGAGGCTGCGGCAGCGGCTCGGGCCGTCGACGACGACGGAGGGAGGAGGGAGGAGGGGGAGGAGCGAGGAGGAGGAGGAGGAGGAGGAGGAGGAGGAGGAGGAGGAGGAGGAGGAGGCGGAGGAGGAGGGAGGAGGAGGAGGAGGAGGAGGAGGAGGAGGAGGAGGAGGAGGAGGAGGAGGAGGAGGAGGAGGAGGAGGAGGAGGAGGAGGAGGAGGAGGAGAGGAGGAGGAGGAGGAGGAGGAGGAGGAGGAGGAGGAGGAGGAGGAGGAGAGGAGGAGGAGGAGGAGGAGGAGGAGGAGAGGAGGAGGAGGAGGAGGAGAGGAGGAGGAGGAGGAGGAGGAGGAGGAGGAGGAGGAGGAGGAGGAGGAGGAGGAGGAGGAGGACAACGACGACGGCGACGAGGACGAGGAGGTGGAGGGGCAGATGACGATGAGGACGAGGAGATGGAGGGACAGCTGGAGGAGGAAGGGACGAGAGAAGGAGAGGAGGCAGGGGAAGAGGAGAAGGGAGGTAGAGGAGGGAGAACCAAGAGGGGGGAGGAGGAAGCGCGGAAGGAGCAATTCGAGGAGGAGGAGGAGGAGAAACCTGGGAGAAGGACGAAGGAGAAGGGAGTAGAACGAGGAGGAAAAAGAGGAGGAGGAGGAGCCGGCACGACCTCTGTGAAGCGGCCCTTCTCCATGATGTAGTCGAAAAGCTCCCCGCCCTCAGAGGTAAGAGGGAGGAGAAGGGAGGGGAGGAAAAAGGAGGGACCGAGAAACCGAGAGATGAAACAATGAGGGAGAAAGGGGTGGAAGGATGCAGCGCTGGAGCGCTGAGGCCTGAGGGAGGGAAACATGGAGGAGGGAAGCAGGGATGGAGGAAGGAAGGACTGGATAAAGAGATGGAGCGGTGAAGGGGGGCATACATTCCAACCGCCACGGAGGTCCCCTCAGGGAGTGCTGGTCCCTGCTTGGGAGCTTCCGCGGCCGCGGCAGAGAAGGAGCAGCAGCAGCAGCAGCAGGGTGAGGAGTTAAGGAGGGGGAAGAAAAAACCTCGCAGGACTCCATGACGAGAAAGTGGTGCCTGGCATCCTCGAAGGTGTGGTAGAGCCTCACGATGTGGGGGTGGTCCAGCATCTTCATGATGGCCAGCTCTCGCTGGAAGAGGCGCAGCCTGGCGACGCGGAGCTTGTCACTGGTCTTGGAGGTCAGCCTTGTCTTGTCGATGGTCTTGACCGCCCGCTGGACGTTCGACTCCCTGGTGAAGGCCGTGTTGACGGAGCCGTACGACCCTTGACCGATCTTCGCGCCGATGGCGTACAAGTCCTCTCGGGGGCGTGCTGGCCCAGGTCAAGGTAAACCCTGGTCAGCTGGGGCATGCCCCGAACCCGAACTGGCCGCGAAGTCAGCGGGCCCTCAGATCCAAGCTTCGCAAAACAAAGATCGTGGCTGATGGTTGTTTGTCGATTTCAGCCTCTGGAAGCTGTTTCCCGGCACCAGGACTGTCAAAAACAGCTCAGGAAGAAGAGCCGACCACAGGGAAGCGTTCGAGGTCCGCGGGCGCCGACGTCACGAGACAAATTGCACCGTTGGGGTCGGCTCCACAGGGCTGCCAACGCCAGGCCGGCCAGAGGGGATCAGAGGGGATTGGGCGAACCCCGTTGGAGCTGACTCCCGCTCCTCGAGGCACTCCAGGCCGCGGTGGTCGAACATGGCTTTGGAGTGCCACTGGGGGCTGGCCAGGTCCTGCAGCAGACACGAGGAGCAGAAGGATTATGAGCAGAAGGAGGAAGGGGGGAGAAGGGACCTCTCTGGTCCGGGGGGCTTGACTGGGTTGCACCAGCGCTCCACGATAGGCCCAGCGGCCAGGACAATGGCACCCTGCTGCTTTCATGCTTGAACAGGAGGAAAAAGAAGAAAGGAGGAGGAGGAGGAGGAGGAGGAGGAGGAGGAGGAGGATAAGGTGGAGAAGGAGGAGGAGGAGGAGGAGGAGGAGGAAGAGGTGGAGAAGGAGGAGGAGGAGGAGAGAGGAGGAGGGAGGGAGGGAGGGAGGGAGGGAGGGAGAAGGGCGAAGGGAGGAGGGAGTAGGGAGGAGGAGGAGGGAGGAGGTATGGAGGAGGAGGAGGAGGGAGAAGGGAGGAGGGAGGAGACGAAAGAGGAGCAAAGCGGAGGGAGGACCGCTGGGGGGCCGGCCAGGTCATGGACGTCCTCGACGTCCGCCGAGCCCGCGGCGCCGTCTGCCGCGGCGGTCTTGGCCAGGCCTCTGATCGCCTCGGGCAGCGCAGGGCCGCGACAAACCGATCCGGCATCGGGGCATGTTGAGCTGACGTGTTTACGGTCGTCAAGGGCTTGACGACTTCTGACGTCCCTCGACTCCCGCTGGAGCGGTCGCGACTTGCTCCAGGTTTCCCTTGAGATCTCTGGACTTGCCTGGATTTGCCTGGATTCACTGGGATTGACCTGGATTGGCCTCGATTTGATTGCAGCTACCTGGATTTACCTGGCTCGATCCCCACAAGTCGATTGGTGAAAAATCGTCAAGCCTTTAGGGATATGGCCGGGCTTCGATGGCAAGGTGTGTGAACCTGGATGTCTTTTAGGGGCGCCGAGGCTTCTTGAGGAACTCTAGCGGTCCCCAGGGGGGCTTCGTGAAAGGCGGCCGTGCCTCAGCACGGGCAGTGCCGCCTCGGGCAAAAGGCAAAGAGGCCGAGCTGCGATCGCAGATCCAGCGGCCCTTTCTTGCCGAGCGCCAGCAGCCAGGATTAAGTCGGGCCTGTCCCCCTACAGGCCGATTTGGGGCGAAAAATGGAAAATACCCCAGAGAGATACTCCAAAATTAGCAAACAAAAGACTCAAATAATCGTCCCCCGACTATTCTTTGTCCATTTTTGAATATTCCTCCTGTAGAGGGACAGGCCCGATTTAAAGCCGGGAAAGGAGGGCACGAAGGCAGCCTGCCACGGGCCCTGCCGCCCGAGACCCCACTCGAGCAGGGCGGGGCAGGAGCAGCAGGGAGAAGCGACGGGGCCGCGGGACGCAGCACGGGGCCCTCCAAGACCGCCGGTGTGCCAAAAAAAAACACGGCTGGACTTGCACCGGGAGGCGAGGGCATGCTGCGCATGGAAGGAGTAAAGGCACACTGAAGTCTATGAGTTGTGAGCTCACTGCGTCTCCAGAACGTTGATGAGCGGAGGCTGTGATGCAATCCTGTGAGGGTGGAGGCTATGATGCCCTCCTTTGATGGTGGATGGGCGTACGGTGGACGGGCGTATGGGCGTGAGGTGGATCACGACGGGAGGTTTTCGCGATCTTCGGCCTCTGGGGGCCCCTCTCGGGCCTCCGGGCCGTCCGCAAACGACTCGGGAGGAAAAGCCGGTCCCCGTGAAAAGGGGTGCAGACCCCTGGGGGTCGACGTTGTGAACAAATCCAGACGTCGAGGCTTTTCGCGATCTTCGGCCTCCAGGGGCCTCCCGGGCCTCGGGGCCGTCCACAAACGACTCGGGAGGAAACGCCGGTCCCGTGAAAGGGGTCTTCTGACCCGGGTCAATGCAGACCCGGGTCAGTCAGGCCTTGCAGAATCCTGCAAGATCCTGCAAGATCCTGCACCCAAGCCAGGGTCAATGCGAAGGACCCTGCAAGATCCTGCAGGATCCTGCATCCAAACCCGGGTCAATGCGACCCTGCCCCTGCAGGATCCTGCAGGAACGGGCGCCTTGGCTGACCCCCTTTGCGTTGACCCCCGTCTCAGGGCTCCCGAGCGTGAAAAGAGGAGGAGGAGGAGGAGGAGGAGGAGGAGGAGGAGGAGGAGGAGGAGGAGGAGGGGGAGGAGGAGGAGGAGGAAGGAGGAGGAGGAGGTTGGAGCGTCTGGGGGGGCCGCGTGTCAATCCATCCTATCGCCTCTGTGGGCGGGGCCTCCTGCGGCGCTGACCACCGAGGGGCATTTCAACTGCCTGAAGTGCAGCGCGAGCGAGCGAGCGAGCGTCATTATCCTTAAACGGCGGAACACGGGTTTTGCTCTCTTGGTGAACTAACCTATAAAGATGGAAATAACAGGCAGTGAATTTGAACGCCTCGGGGGAGGGGTGGATCAGGCCCAGGGCTAGGAGGGGGTCCAAAAACGGGGGCGCTGGAAGGTCAGCGTTTAATTGACTACGGACGAGCATATACATCGGGTCGCACCAGCAAAAGTAGTGCTTAAGCGAGTCTCGAGCCCCAGGACATCCCCAGACGCACCGCCTGTACGGGTTGCGCATCCTAGACTCGGTGATCCAACCCCCTCCCCAGGTCTCAATGCAAGCACTGCGCCAGGACGGCGGGATGCGATGCATCACCGAGGCAACGGCCGACCAGTCGATGGCCGCAGCGTCGACAGCGTGGACCCCAAACCAGCGCTGGAGGCGCTCTTACAGGCGGAGGTGGAGGCGCGGGAGACGAGAGTCGGAGCGAAGGTACGAACCGAGGAGGGAGGAGTAAAGGAGGTGCTGTGGCCGCAAACGCCGCAGGAGAGCCTGGCGCTCGTCTCCAGCAGCTTGGCTGGCGCGCTTGCGGTGGGCCTCGCGGGAGGCGGCCGCAAGAAGGGCGCGCACGGCCGTCGCGCGGGGGCTCGTGCCGCGGCACGACGCCGCTCTCTCTAGCGTCACGGCAATGGCCTCAGATTGCCACCAGCTGGGCCACGGGCAGCCACGGACCGTCCGCACCAGGGGCAGGTGTCGCAGCGCAGCACCGCGGAGCTGCCGCGAGGCCGTGCGCCAGGAGCCCAGCGTGACCACCGCCGCCCGCACGAGCGCTGCCTCGCACATGGTCGTGGCGGAGGGGATCTGCGGGCCGCCGACGGTGTCGAGCTCGTGCCATTCCCCATCTCCCAGGAAGCTGCCTGGCAGGCGGAGCAGGTGCGCCAGCCTCCCTCGCTCGAGCTTCTTCAGGGAGTCGGGGGCCTCCATCATCTGCGCCTTGTATGACAGGACGGGCACGCAGCGCTCCCTGTACAGGAGAATGGCAGCATGCAGGTCCGCGCGGCTCCTGGAGATCTCCCCGACGCGCTCGGAGTACTTCTTCATCGGCACACGCCATTGTGCCTCCTGCGTGACCCCAGGTCCCAGCAACACGCCCAGGTACTCGAGGTGGTCCACGATTGGGAACGCCTCCCAGTCCTTGTCCGCGGCCAGCAGGGAGTCCCGCGCCAGCTCCTGCGCGTCAGCACGCTGCGGGTCACCCAGCGGGATGGCGCGGCACTTCGCAGGCTTGATCAGCAGGCCCGCCAGGAGCTTTGCGCCGCGGAAGACGCGGGCCAGCGTGAGCAGTCCGCGTTGGGACATCACCGCCGCGCCCAGGTCATCGGCGCACCATCTCGAGATGCCCCGACGCTTGGAGTCCAGGCTGGCCTTCAGGTCCTGCCCGAACGGGTGGACGGCGAGGACGAACAGAGTGCCACTTGCTGGGTCGCCCTGGAGGATGCCCGAGCGCACCGAGTAGAGCGCAGCCCTCGTACGCGAGGCCGCGAGGGAGACGACCCCGTCGCAGTTGACCTTCAGCGCGTCCTGGAGCCCCTGGGGGGCGGCCATGGCGCGGAGCGCGCCGAAGAGCCAGTCCTGCGCGATGCTCGGGAAGGCCTGGCCCCAATCGAAGGAGATGAGGAAGGGGGAGTCACCGTGCCTCGCAGCCATGGAGAGCACGCGGGAGTGCGTGTCTAGCTCGACTATGTTGTCGCAGAAGTTGCGTCCGCAGATGAAGCCTCTCTGCGTGTCCACGCAGTGCCACTCCGCCACCTTCTTCATGCATGAATTGAGGGCCCACATGACGGCCTTCTTGGACGTGTTCTCGAGCGCCAGTGGGCGGGTCTCACCAGCGCGCCTGAGGACCTCCTGCGGGCCATCAGCACGCGCCCCCTTGGCGGGGAAGACGGCGATGGAGAAGGCCCACTCCTGGCGCATGGGGGGCCCCTCCAGTTGCCACGCCAACGCCCCCGCCAGCGCGTCGACCCCCAACGGCGTGAGAAGCCAGGCCCTAGCACCGAGACCGTCTGGACCAGGGGCTGACTTGCGGGCCCTGCGGAGCGCCATGGCCACGGCGCGTGCCGAGGGGGGCGCGATCGAGGCCCAGTCAGCACCTTGGATGCCGTAGCGTCGGAGATACCCATCCTGGAGCTCCCGACGACGCAGAACAACACGAGGAGCATCTCGCGGGAGAGGGACCACGATGCCGTCCTGGAAGGCCATGGGGATGACGTTCGAGTTGAAGGCAAGGTTGCGCATCATTTCCTCGGCTGACTGCTTCCGCTTTGCCACGTCGTCACCGAAGACGCCTCGCCAGTAGCCCGCTAGCGCCCT